GTAGGAATGATATTCAAGATAAATAGATAATACGTTTAAATCTTGATAGATCCATTCCTAAAGTTATTACACTACTTTGGAGTTTGGACTACTTGGAAATCCAGGATAGAAATCTATCTATCTAAGAGCTTTCAAGACTCTAACGAATGACATTATTCTAGAATGCATATAAACTCTTAAAGACTCCCAAAAATTAGTTCCTCACCATGCATCCAAGTAATGTATCGTGGTCACCCCTCCTCGACGACAACGTAGTTATTGCAAGAATAGCAAATTCAAGTTCATAATGTAACGGCTCACTCTTGGCTCTTAAACATAATATATATCTATATTTAGTATTTAGAAACACAAATCGGAAAGACACATGTTCCCATCCTATTACATTTCCCTATCTTTTAATCCAACTCAATGTTAGAGGTGATCATTTACGGGCTTGGGTGGGATACGAGCTGCGTTTATAGTTCATATTTTGTCCAACGGGCTTAATATAGCAAACCCAAGCCCTTTTATGCGGGCTTGACAATTAGTCCATACCCGCCTTAGTAAACGGGCCGGGTTTTTTCCGCGGGCTAACGGGGTTAAAATCTACCTTTGTTCTTATATTTATTGTTTAAGAACTTTGTTCTAATTTTTATAAACACTAATTAACTTTCTTTTATTATTTATTTATATTACGATTATTTTGATTAAGTTGTCTTTAAAATTTCCTGAACACAAATGATAAAGAAATTAAAAAAAAATTAAAATCTTGACATATGTTATGGAAAAATATGAATGAATTTATATAACAAGTCTCCGATGATAAAAAAAAAATATAGTTATTGTAGCTAATAAAATAGAACCCAATATATTCTTTTGTATCTTTTTCAAAAGTATACGTAAATAATTTAACTATTTACAGAAGTTTATTTAATAAACGGGCCGGACAGGCTAGCCCGCGGCACAAATTGTATTGTCCATGTCCGTCCATTTATATTTGCAGGTTGGGCCTAGCGCGTTCAAATATTCAATTTTTTTCAAAATTGGTGTCCAAGCCCATCTATTTTACGGGCCGGATATGGTGGGCTTCGCGGGCCATCCCGTCCATGAATAGCTCTACTCAATGTGTCACTATTTAAACTTAATTACACATGTTCCCATCCTATTACACTTCCCTATATTTTAATCCTATTACATTTTCAATTTTTTTTATTACACTATCTTTCTTAACTCTTTCATTAAACTTAATTATACTTCATCTCCCACACACACTTCATCTTCATCTCCCCTCTTCAATTCAACTTTTTCATTTTCTCTCTTTAGTTTTAGTCCCTCCACCTTTTTTTAAAGCCTCATTTTGCATTAAAGTCCTAAAAATTTAATTTCTTTAATTATGTTTTCGGTTACACATTACACCCATAATGATTTATTGGTATTTCCTCGCTCATCTCTCAATGCAAATTTTTATTAACAACCGGCTAGAAGACTAGTTGATTATAGAACAAGATAACTACTCTTTTTTCTCCTCTTTTCAAAACCCTAAATTTTTTTTTATTGTTGTGTGAGACTATCAAGAAACTTTTGGTTGATGGTAAGCCCCTAGCTAATTTTTGTGTTTATACTAGTTTTAATTTGCTCATAATAAATTCTTATTCTCTAATCTTATTATTAAAGAGTATATCTACCTAATTTTTTGGCTTATATCTTATTGTTTTTCTACTAATTTTAATTTTTTTTGCTCTAATACCATGTAGAAATTGATTAAGGCTCAAAGCTTGCCTCACCATTCATTGATTGAGAGTATATGCAATACAAGATAATCTCAAAAGATATGACCAAATCAAAAGATACACACAAAAATATCAATACCCAATCAACCCTATAATTAAGGAAACAATATCCCAAAAATATACTCTAATAATCCTAACAATGTATCGGGTTTTATCTCTCTCTTTGTGAGCATTAAGGTCTATATGATTTTTAATTTCTTGAAAATTTAGATTTTTGATGAGGATTTGTGCAATATAATTTTGCGTCAAAGGTTAATCTACATCTACCACCAATTACATCATATTTTGTTTGATTTCAAAACTGCAATAGATTGAAAAACCCTCTCAACCCATGGAAGGATGTATCAAACACCGATGTAAAAGAGATTACTCATTTATGTCAAATCTTATCCTCAATTGCAACAAAAATGATCTTGGTGGTTGTCCAATTAAAACATTTTTTGATACACTTTTTTTTTCAATAACTGTACGACTCTTTTGTCAAAGAGTTAATTTCACTTTTAAAAAAATTGGAACAAGATACCTTAAATTTTCATATACTTAATTAATTAGTCAATTTATAAACTAGCTAGCATACGCATATATACCTCCATTCTTTAATGTTCTACTTATTTACTATTTATATATGGGGTCAAACTGAAAAAACTTTGACCATCTCTTACATAATACTTGTATACTGATAAGAAATTATAAATTGTGATCTTAGTATTAAATCATTTTAAAATGTAGTATCCAAATAACAAGTTTTCATAATTTACATTAGTACGCAATTAAAGTTATAAATTTATAATTGGTCAAACATTTGTGTTGGCCTGCTGACCGTATGCGTGCACAAAATGCAAGTGAATAGAATTAAAAAGAACGGATTGAAGGGATCGGAGTACTTAATTACGATAATAGATAGAAACTAACATTAAATATTTTATGTAAATTGATTGCTGTTTGTGCACATGTTTAAATTAGCATGAACATTAGATATCTTGTACGTAGTATACGTACATTGATTATGTGCACATGTTTAAATTAGCGTGAATGTAGAAAGTAGCTTTACTTGTGGGGATGTTGTACTTCCTCCATTTCTGAATTCTTTCGCAATTTGACTTTTAGAACAACTTTGACCGTCACTTTTTTCTATTATATAAAATAAGCTGAGATGTTAATAAGTAAGATGTTGGATTTATCTTAATATATATCATAGGAACACTAATAAATTGACCTTTGTGTCACGAGTAAAATTATGACACAAGTTTAAAATTTCTGTGGCTATGTAATTTAGCCATGGGAATATTGAAATTTACTCCCGTGACTAAAAATTTGCCACGGAAAAATGGATGTCGTGGTAAATTTTATTTTTTATGCTACGGGTATTGAAAATTACCGTCCGTGGGACCAGTATAGTAATATGTTGATATTTTCCTCATCCCTACACCAAGGTATAAGAATTACCAATAAGGAGCAGTGGTAAATCTTTCTAGTTGTGTTTGCTTAATTGTTTGGTGAATTGATCGTACTTGGCTAACATTAAAGACGAAATGAATTTGTATATACCTATTACAATCAACAAAGCCCACAAGGTATCCCATTAGTAGCTTGATGGGCCTGTATTATCTCCAATAAATTTCAGTTTTTTTGAGAGCAAATGCCAATTTATGGATGGGCTTTATTGATTTCTTACACATTGACACACATAATCAGCACATTTGTGAGGAGAAGGCCCACATTAGGTACTAGTAGTATTTAAGACATGGAACTGACAATTTAGGTATTCGGGTCTGATCATGTCAAATTTTGGGTTATATCAAGTCAAGTCAATATGTTCGCTTGATCCATGTTTGGATCAGATTTAGTTTTGATTAAATTCGAGTTTTGTTCTTTAAGTTCGAAAATATGTCAAATCAGATTTTGGGCAAGTTTACGAATGAAAGATTCAGGTTTTGATTAATTTTTGGTTGGATATACATCGAGTCAGATCAATTTTAACCAAAAAGAGAAGCTTGACAATGATTTGAAAAGACCAGATCTGAACCGAACGACTAAATTAACACATCTTATTCACCACTATTATATTACATCTTATTCACCACATCTTTTAAAATACGGTTATACCCACTTTATAAGATACGTCACTTAAATCGCTATTAGGATGATAATCAAGCAATAAACAAACTATCACAACCATTTTAGAAGTACAAAACAACAAAATTGTTGTTACAGCATCCATGCGCTTATAGATCTTTCGTTGTCTCCAAAAGTTGCTTTAGGATTTTTTACGAAAGTAAGCCTTATTAGTAAACTATTTACCAATCTAGACGCGTGGCCAAACTATTTACGAAACTGAGCTTCTGACATAAAACGCTGCCTCGGTTAGCGTTTTACCTTTGGTTATTATTTTTTTTTATAAAATTTCGTATTATGTGAAATACAAATTTAAAAAAAAAAATTGGAAATACAATAAAACGCTGACTCAGTCAGCGTTTTACTTGTATACATAACAGAGAAAAACGCTGACTGAGTCAGCGTTTTACACCTAAGCATAAAACGCTGCCTCAGTCAGCGTTTTATCTGCTGGCTGAAGGCAGCAACAGCAGGCCCCCAACAACAGCCAGTGCAGCCCCCTTCCACATCCACCAACACCACCACCCTCCTCCTCCACATCCTCCACCACCCTCCTCCTCCACATCCACCACCACCATCACCCTCCTCCTCCACATCCACCACCACCACCACCACCCTCCTCCTCCACATCCACCACCACCACCACCACCCTCCTCCTCCACATCCACCACCTCCATCACCCTCCTCCTCCACCACCACCACCACCCTCCTCCACATCCACCACCACCATCACCCTCCTCCACATCCACCACCCTCCTCCTCCAAATCCACCACATCCACCACCCTTCTCCTCCACATCCACCACCACCACCACCCTCCTCCTCCACATCCACCACCACTACCATCACCCTCCTCCTCCACATCCTCCAACACCTCCACCACCCTCCTCCTCCACATCAACCACCTCCACCACCCATCCTCCTCCACATCCACCACCTCCACATCCACAATTTATTTTGAACAAAATGAGTCAAACGTGGACAAATAAGGAATTTAAAATTCAAACAAGACATAAATTCATTCAAATAATTATTAAAATAATAATGTAATGTAAGTGTTATGTACAATAAACTAGAGAAGGTCATTACAGCAAATAAATCAGATAATTCTATCCTATTATGACTCATCAATTTGGTGTAACGGCTCTCTATCCTGTATGTCCACTCTTGGCCTTTGACGACGACTGTAGTGACGGACCGTGGTAAATGGGTTCGGGCGTACTGGCGGAGTCAGCTGGCTAGAAGATGGGTCATCAGGATGACGTAGGGGCGCGGAACTGCGAATGTCGTACTCCTCTGCGCCCGTGAATGACGAAGGATCACCCCCACAACTACTCTGGCCAGCCTCGAACTGTGAGTGACTAGAGTGGCCGCCATGATCGTCCCGGGGGTGGACGAGATAGGCGTGACCATATCTCTGCAAGGTAGCCATGCCCATATCTCGCACCCGCTCGACCTGTGCTCTGGGCGGCTCAGGTATGCCTGGAAGGACGTCCGACAGTGCGTCAACCATCGCCGTCATATCCAACGCCTGCAGTAATTAAGGATGAGTTAGTTGAATGATATACAAATTTAAAATTGATAAAGATAAGTTAATCAAATACACTTACATATCCCCTGATCACGTCAAAGGATGGATGGTAATGTGCGGATGGCGGTGTGTAGCTGGGGTTGATGAAACGCCGTATAATCCGCATGTACCACTCCATGTATGGATCGTATGGATCCATAACGCCGTGGATGGGGTCACCAGTGACGACGAACTCCAACCGTCGATGCCACAAGTCAATGTACTGGGCATGCTCCGTCCGCCAGTTCCTGTCGCTCTTTCCCCGACGGTCAATGCGGTGCAGCCGGGCACTAGTGTCACACTGTTGGGGGACAGTCTGTCGTAGTCCAAACTGTCGCATGACTCGATCTGGTAGGTGACCCTCGACGACCTCAAAACAGATCAGGAGGACCCTAGAACGCCACTGCGCCTGATGATCTAGCAGATGTGGAGTCATGGCAGCAACTAAATCAGCTTCATACGGGTCCCATGTCATCTGCGATAACACATAAAAAGTAACATAATAAACAGGTTAGTGCATATTAAATATGTTAAGAGTATACATAATAAATAACAATTTCATAAACAAATTAAAGATTTCACCTGATCCTCGGTCAGTCGATCAAGGGCGTCTCGGTAGTATAGCAGGCCCCTCGCCGCATGCGCATATGTCAGCTTGGGGACCGCCCATCTGCAAGCGTACGCCTCGTCAGCGGAAGGCCGTGGTGGAGGAATGTACCGCTCATACTGCTGGTCCTGATCCTGCTGCCCCTGACGATGTATAGCAGGCCTACCTGGCCTGCCTACATGGATGTGCTCCCAAGGCCCAAAATACTCGTTCAAACACTTCCATGTTGCTGTAATAAACATCGTCTACCAGAGCTTTGTGTTTCCATACAACAACGGTTCCCGGGTTTGACTGTTTGAGTGCTTCCATGAAGTGCGGAAGTCAGCCATAAGAACTCTCCCAATCTCCAAATACTTCAGCTATGGATTTCTCCCTAGCATACCATGCTCTTCGATAAGTAACGTCGAACTGAAAATGCTTGGATATGAGTTCCTGTATAAATTCAACTTTCAAGCATGGATCTTTCTGCACAAAAGACTTCACAAAATCGGAAATTAAGGATGAATCCAAGTGTGCATGATCTGTAGATAACACTTCAGTGACACAGGTGTCCCGGTGCGGGCCTTTGTATGTGACTATGGTAAAGGTATCTGAGTGCTCACTTTTTTTGGTGCCTCATAGCGACCAACCACAATTCTTCTTGCACCACAGATGAAGGACCTTCTCATTCGAGGTCACTGTGGTGTAGAATTGGTTCCTTTGTATAGAATACTTCTTCACCATTTCCTGAAGCAGTTTCTTAGATTCAAAGAACATACCCTTCTCAAACTCCCCCCCCCCCCCCGATCACAAATGTTGTATGACTACCTGATTCGGCCCAATATTGATCAACCTCATAATTCTCATTTACTTGACTTAACCAAGGAATAGGAGTTCTAACCATGGCCTCCCCACCTTCCATGTCTGTAAAATCAACCTCCATGTTATCCAGAATTGGTTCCTCCTCTTCGCTCTCAGCCTCATCATTTGTTTCCCGGAGCGCATCATACAGAGACAACTCGTTATTCACCATATGTTGTAGATTTTCAAGATGATTCACCAATGGTTGAGACGGTGATGTATGATCATCATGCTGCGTAGGTGAATAACTTTGGAGTTGCATGGGAGAAGATATAACTGTGTTCGATGTCGAAGGCCCAGATTGGCCAAACATTGTCGTAGATGTTCCACCATATACAGGTGAAGCTATATGTGAACTCAACGGCATCTGGAACCGATCGTCATGAAGCAGTCTGCTGAAGGACCCCATCCCATATTCAGTTGATGGAATGTCTTGTGAGGGCATTCGGAAGGACTCTGTGTAACCGGAAAAATAGGTAGCTTGTTGATCTGGTCGAGTACTTTGTTGCGTACACGTAGACACTATTTCTACATATATCTCATGTGGATAACCCCTCATTAAAACAGCGCTCCTCAAAGCTTTCAAATGTCTATCGTTAGAACAAGGTAACACTTGAACCGCATTATTAGTTTCAAACCTCATTTGAATGTTAAGTTGTACATTCATTCGGTTTAAGCCAATAATGCTATGAACCTCGTTCATCAGATCGTTGAAAGTCATGTCTGGTCCAAGTGGCAATGGTTCCATATTTCCACCACTATACTGGACATTCGGTCCATCAGACACAAATTCACCCCCCCATCGGCATAACAAAGCTGCGTTTTGTGCAGCCATATTCTATACAACAACCAAAAACACATCTTAATTGCATGCAATCTCCACCAATTCGCACAATAACAACCAAGAAATTCACACTACAAACATAATTAACCATCATTGTTCCAATTCACACAACAACCAAAACAAAGTACACAACGAACATATTCACACTAACAACCAACGTACTCTACATAACATAATTTTCGTAATTAAACGACAATGTAGGCTATTTTATCAAATTAAAACAACAATTTCATCAACAATATCAACAATTCATCAACATTTTCAACATTTTTACCAAACATTTCCACAATTTCATCATAAACTTTCTTACTAAACTAACATCAATTTAGGGCTTTTATACTAAACTATTATCAAATTACAACAAACTAACTTAGAATTATCAACATAATTATCAATTTACATTAAACTAACTTAGAATAATCAACAACATTATCAAATTAAAACAATGTACTATATAATTATCAAACTAACCTAGGTTTTAAAATTTTAAAAACAAATAAGTGAGAAGTACCAAAAATGTGATTATAAAGAAGAGGAGAGGCGCGACGGCAGTAGGCGGCGGCGACGGTGGCAGGCAGCAGGCGGCGGCGGCAGCGGCAGCGATGGCGACGGCAGAGCTTTGAGGAAGAGTGAGTTTGAGTTTTTAGTTTTGAGGAAGAGTGAATGCGTTGCGTCTGCCTGGAAGAATATACCAGGCAAAACCGCTGACTGAGGCAGCGTGTTTCTAGTATTAATGAAACGCTACCTCAGTCAGCGTTTTAAGGCCTGTTATAGCCTAACACAAAAACGCTGACTGAGGCAGCGTTTTTGTGTATTTCAGTTTTTTTATTTTTTATTTTGTATTTCACAAAATACATAATTCAAAACAAATTAAATAAATAAAAATGAGGAAAAACGCTGACCGAGGCAGCGTTTTACCTCAGAAGCTCAGTTTCGTAAATAGTTTGGCCACGCGTCTATATTCGTAAATAGTTTACTAATAAGGCTTAGTTTCGTAAAAAACTCTGCTTTATTGGCCCAAGTGGCGCATTAACAAATTTTCAACTCCATAGTTCGTAGCTGCTGCTTAAAATTTCTTTGATATATAATAAATTAATTACTACTAATTATTTATTTGAATATTTAGGCTATAATTTTGAAACCACAGGTTTGGTAAGTTAAATTATAAAGTATTATTTGTATATATTTGAATAAACTGCGCGGTGCTTTGGCAATTGGCACGCCAATGATGCCATACAATATAGTGCAATTCATTTAGGTGGGAATAGTGTCTTCTAACAATAATTTTTCTTATTGTTTGTGGGTTGTGTTACATCACCAAAGTCGGCTGGGATTACACGTTAGTCATCACCTTAATTCATGGAACATGAACGAGCAAGAAAGATAAAATACGAGTATTTATTTAATTCAAAAGGCGACATTATTTTGTTAAAATGATATTGTGATGGGAGCCAAGTTAGTGTGGAGCTACCAGGGAGGAGAATTAAGGCCCTATTTTTTAGAGCTGCTCGGTTGAAATCTGCTTCAATCTGCTAAATTCTTTTTTGCTAACTCAATCTACTCTACTGACACCTGTTTTGCCGTGCTCTGCTGAAATCTGCTCTGCTCTGCCCAGAACCTTAAAAGAACAGGGCCTAAATCTGTAGAAAGACTAGCAAAATCGGACTAAAATTGCTTGTTAATTTAATCTTCGTTACACTTAAAAAGTAAAGATTAGCAAAATGTGACTAAAATTGTATGTTAATTTAACCTTCATTACGCTGAAAATAGCCTCGCACGTTAAATTTTCTCTTTTGGAAACCAATTCTATCCGAGAGTAATTTCGATCGAGTTGATCGAAATGTTATTTTTTTTGCTAAACTCATGCTCCGAAGTCCTTTATAGATCTATTAAGAGCGTGTTTTTTTACCTTAACTTTTTATGTATTGGACTTATAAGAACTTGATCAACTCTTTTTTCACCTTATATTTCCACCTGATTAGACTTGATTAATCCTTGATAGATATTATAGATAGATAATATTATTTAGGATGCTTGGTATGAGGGGGCCACGATGCATACACAATTCGAGCCTAAAGGCCTCTCATGTGAGGGGGGTGTGATAGAATATATAAATCGGTCGTGAGCTTTAACCATAAGCTTAATCTTTTATTTGAGTAGGTCCTTTAACATGGTATTAAGAGAGCCACGTGACATAAAGGTTACGGGTTCAAATCTCATCGACACTTCAAGTCCAAATAGATCTCATGTGGATCATGGGTTTCAACCATCAGTTTAAGAAAAGATCATGATAGATTAAACTAGAAAAGGTTGTCTTGCAGATTTAGAATATACTTGTATAGACTAGACCTAATTAGCCTTGAGAATAATCTTTAAAGTTAAGGGAATGCACCCTTAATCACTCTATAATTGTGCAAACAAGGTTAATTAATAAGCCATGCTCACTCATTATTTGGCTTCTCTTGTTGACCAGTAAGAGAACTGGGAAGTCAACGTAGCAATGTGTATGGCTTGTATTCCTTGTTAGTATTATTTACTTCCTCCATTTTATATTAGATGACACATTTTATTTAGACACGTTTGTCAATGCATATTTTATAATGCAAATATCATTGATTACATATTAGCAAAAATTATAAAAATTTGATATTTAAAAAATAGATGTTGAGACGAATCTAACAAGGCCCCACACGAGCATACATTTTCTCAATACGAAATCACAAAACGAAGTCAAAGCAAGTTATGTGAATAGTGCACAAAGTCAGACTGTGTCATCTAATTTGAAACGGAGAAAGTATGATTCATTAGTGGCCTTGGGGTATCTGAAATTCTGAAATGTAAAGGTGGTTTGGAGTTGTTCTTATAATTGATAAATTGTTGTACTTTATTGTAAGTTAGGACTCCTAAAAATCAAATAATTAAAAGTGCAGTTGACTGAAATAAACGTTCTTAATAGTGGCACTAAATGATAGTAGACTTTAGAGGAAAGAAAAGGCTAAGAAATGAAAAGTTGAAATTATTGCACTAGTTTCCCTTCTAAACCTAATGTTTTGCAAACAAAGGAAAGATAATTTTTTCATTGAATATCTTAGATGATCTTCCTACTTAACTAGGTTAAATTTCTATAAATTTTTAATTATATTAGCCTTGGAGATTCGAATTAGAATATGCAAATTTTATGCTACGGGATAAAACAAGTGAAAGAATTGAAATAACTTGAGTGGTATAGTAATTTAGTATTATGGCGAAGGATGATGAGAGCGTAAAGAAATGATAGAGGAATTATGTCATTTTTATAGACTATAGTGAGTTATATAAATCGGTATTTAATAACACCATTACTAAGCGAACGATTTGTCAAAGTGGTGTTAAAAATTAAATTAATTGCGAAAATAGTGTTCACTTGAAAATATTTCTCAAACTAGTGTCCATGTAGGATTGGAAAATAACCCAAACTTATAATTTATTATTGCTTTGTGTTAAAAGTCTAAATAAAAAAATAATTGGGAGAGATTGTTATATAGACCCGGGTGCATCATACACTAAATATTTTGTTCT